CCAGAGACGTTCAGTGGATGCCACTCCTATCGAGGGTGCTGTATCTTGATTTCATTTGGTTTACATTTTCTGATTTAATAATCAGTTTCTTTGTAGAAAACATGGAAGTTCAAAACCCAGAAAAAAAACTTCATCAGCCTATTGGCTTCTATTGTTATATGCTATTGAGTTGAAACTGACTTGTAGTGGACCCTCCAGAGGGTTTTCAGAGGCTGTAAATCATGCAGGAGGAGATTACCCATCTGCTTCTATTAATAATAATTTTCCCTTAATCATTCTTCTCTTGTTTATTTTCTTTATTAAAAAAGAAAATAATCTCTTACATTGAAGATGTTAGCATACAGGTTAAAACATGTTATAGCCAATTCTAAAACTCCTAAATTATAAATAAGTATCTCAACAATAGTCAACGATTATTTCAAGAAATAATGGAAAAATTTTTAGTATTTACGTGGACAGTTTCTCTAACTTCACTATAATTAGACCTGCCCTGACTTTTTATCGACTCGCTTTTAAACAATAATTATAAAAGCAAAGAAAGGACCAATTTATTGAGAGAAACATCAACCATTCAGGTTTCAAATATTTAATCAGAAATAAAATTTTAATTTATGGTTTTAAGTGTTCTTCACCATTCCTTTCCTCATCCTCTTAAACAAACCCCCTCAAACCTACTGCCATACACTTGATTGCAACTCAGAGCGACCCTCAGCTTAGCTTTCTGAAAGTGTAAATCTTTATAAGAGGAGAGCACCTATCTTTTGCTTCGATCAACTGGTATATTTGAACTGCTGACATTTTGGTTTGCTGCCTAACACATTATAGATTATGTCTCCAAATCTCCTTAGGGCAAGACATATTTACAAACCAGCAATAATGTCAACCTCCCAAGGCAATTTAAAAAAAGATACTCTAAAAAAAGCCAAAGAAGGGGGGCAGGGAGAGGTAAGCCATAGATTTAGAGAAGATAACTTATAATACATCTATTTGACAAGGACGTATCCAGAATATGTAAAGAGCTTCTACATGTCAACAAGGGAGCTCTGGTGGCCTGGAGGTAAGGAGCTGCTCTGCCAACCCAAATGCACGTGGTTCATATGCACCAGCTGCTCTGTGAGAGAAAGGTGGACAATCAACTCCCATGCAATTTACTACCTCTGCAAATGCACTGATCCGTCGGTTAGCTAAGAGTTGACTCCGACTCTACAGCACATGACAATAACAACAATATATCAATAAGAAAAAAACATTAACAATTAAGATGAGCAATAATTTGAACAGGCACCTTACACTAGAGTATATGAAAAGATACTATAAAAAGAGCAGATACAACGTGAGAGTGGCTGAGTCTGACTTCTGTCTGCTTCATGAAGGGGAACTGTCCCCATCAAAAACATCCATAGCAGCAAACAGATAGCTACTAGGTAAGACACACCACCCACAATGTTCCCACACCCACTATGCTCCTGCATCCCCCATGCTACTGCATCCCCCATGCTCCTGCACCTATTTCCCCCAATCATTGTGTTCAACATTCAAAATAAGTTAGGGGGGCAGGGGAGGTAAAAAAATATCTCACAATGTGAATCCAGGTTTAGCCCAGAAGTGCGATACCAGATCAACAAGGCACAATTCCTCAATTAGTAAAAGTCCTGGTTTCAGCTCAGCAATACAAATTCAAACAGCCCCTGGTTTTCTCAATCATCCAGCAAGGTTTGCCTCAGAGAAGCTATAAGTCAGCTTTTTCTTCAATCTTCAGCAAACAAAACTTTTAACTGTGGCAAGAACAAATTCAAGGAGCCTCAGGTTACACCTTGCCACAATCTCTCCACAGCAATGCCACAGTTTCCACAGCAATGCCACAGCAATACCAGTCTCTCCACAATCTCTCCACCATTGTTGTTACTAGGGTCTTGCTCTACAATGTTATATTATGTAACATTAGTCTCCTATTAGTCCCACAGCTTTTGATTTACAAGATCATGTGTCCTCAGTTAAGGTAGCTGGAGACCAATGGGGGCTAATGTAATGGCTAGAAAAGACAACTTTTAAACAAATACCACAGCTGTTGTTGTTGTGTACCTCTGAGTTAGAACTGACCCATAGCTAACTCTCCAGTGGGTTTTCAGAAGCATTTCATCATTTGAGAGGAGACTGCCCATCTTTTACCCTTGGAGCAGCATGTAGACTCAAACCACCTCCCTTCAGGTTTGCAGCATAGGTTCTTGCCACTAGGCCACCAGAGCTCCCTACCCAACATTATTCATCAATAACATAAGATTTAAAACTAAAACAAGGTATTATTACACCCAAGAAAACAAGAAGAGATGAAACAACTAGAACTCATACTGCTGATAAGAGTAATTGGTACAGTCACTTTGGAAAACTGGGAGTATCTACTCACGCTAAACCTGTTATTGTTCTTATGAATCACTGAGTCAGAACTGACTCATGGCTGACTTTCTGGTGGGTTTTCAGAAGCTGAAAATTACACTTGAGGAGATTTCCCATCTTTCTCTTGCAGGGGTGAATTTGGGCTAGCAGCAGCTCAACTCCTTACCACTAAGAAACCAAAGCTCCATACATAACCCAACAATTCTATTTCTTAATGTAAAAAAAAGTGTTCATGTAGTTACATTTGCCTCTTATCAAAGAGGTCCCAAGAATATCTATGGCTATGCTATTCTATGTTATTCATAAAAATTAAATGTTGTTATGTGCCACTGAATTGTCTGTGACTC